ACCCAGACCGATTATCGATTACGTTTACGATTACGATTACATAAGTGTACGACACTTGACGTTTGACAGTTACAAGATCTGAAGATGTTATTGCCGGGTGCAGTTCGTGATGATGTGGCTTAGAATGGGTGCTATAGTTAGTTGCCGAGACACCGCATAAGGGAAACACATCGCACGATTATCTATGTACACACACATTCATATACCACATATAATATACACATAAAGTAGAAGTTTATATTATTTACATTGTTGCGATTTTAAAGATCGAACAGCCATGGACGTAGTGAAAAGGAGATGGTGTATTAACGAGTTTAAAACTTTGCACTTATCGTAGATTTTATGTTGGAATGCTTAGTTATAATTAAAGTAAATGACAAATGATTTCTGTTCTCGCATTAGTTTAAATTAATTCATCTAGCTACCAGTTATATTAAAACTCATTTTTGATACTAATCGATCTTTATCGATTTCTCAAAAATGCAATCTTATCGTTCGGCGAATAGCACACAGTTTAATATCATTCGATTAGCGCCTAGTGAAAGGCATCTGTCTTACCTTATATAGTTAATATGCCATATGATTATATAAAGAGTAGTGATCGATGCTCTCAATTGCAGTGCAAATGATCATACGTATTTATACACATATGACAAACAAATGCCATCAAAGAAATAGTTTGATATTTAATTAAATTTAGCTTGAGAAACAAAAGAAACTTTGTCGACAATAAAAATATTAGTGTAGCAATAATTTTGTATTAAGACCCTAAAAAAAAAAATCACTAGCTATGCCCTACCTTAATTTAGTAAAGGAATATGAAACGATTTTGGATTTGTAAAGATATTATCGATAAACAAATCGATTATAACATAAAACAATTGGTGTTACAAGTAATATTTTGTATTTTAGCTATATGTTAATAAAATGTATTAAAATAGAGTTTTTGCAGGGCATCATTTAGTCAAAACATTCACATATATGGTTATTTCATTTTTCTGTATGTTATGCGCATTGAGGGAAATAGAGGGTGTGGGTGCTTGGAAGTAGTTGCGTAATAAAGAAAAGGAACGATTAAATAAGTTGTACATATATTAATAGATACAGATACAGAAACATGTATTTATAACTGACACGAGTGCGATTATTGTTTGCAACAGGCATTCGTTCGTTCGTTCGTACGATTCGTGTTAAGACAGGTGGTTGAAGGATTAGCTGGCTGACGCACAAGCACACAAACACACACACACTTTTCTCGGACACGTACACAGTACGCTGGTGTGTGGCTGTGTTCAGTTAGTAGTTGTGTAGTGTGGTTAGTGTGGCTAAGGCTTGTCTCACCTCTCTGGGCTCCTGGTTTGGCTGTTGCTTTAGCGCCGGCGGCGGCCTTGACTGTTGCTCAAGCTTATCGTAGGTTAGATCACAATTCTCATTGTATTGATCGTACAGTATTTGACTATCGGACATCGACAGACTATCGCTAAAGCGACGCGCCTTGGTCCACTCCGGATTGGTTTTGGCCAGGCTCTCCACCTGTTGCCACAGCTCCTCGCGTTGCGTAAGCTTCTCGCGTTCCCTAAAAAAACATTTGGCAGAGTAGATGGTTTTCGTTAGCCAAAGGATAAACTATCGAGGTTTAATGTTCTTACTGCTGCTTCTCCTGTTTGTAGTTCTTGCTACACTCATCGAACAGTCGCTGATTCATCTCCATAAATAGCTTAAGGGCATTGTAAATGAGACCGTGAATGGTCTTATTCCAGTGCGTCTTAGAGTTACGATTAAGCGCTGGAAACATGATGGGCAATATGGTCTGCGAATTGTCCGCTATCAGCGACATAATGTACTCATTGTTCCAGTAATAAAGTGCACGCTCCGCCACCTGAAAGTGCGGCGAAGAGACGCATTTGGATATCTGCCGGAATAGGGGCGCCATGACCTTCTGAAATTCGGCCGGTTCAATAACATCGAGCAGCTCCTCTACCTCATTCAAAAACATAACCTCCTTAGGACTGTGGGTTTTGGGCCAAAACTTCAATAGACTTCTGCAAGAAGCAAGTGTGCAAAGGTTAAACTCGATTGTATTCAAAAGAGCGGATACTGCAAACTTACTTTATGACCGCCTCTGACAAACTGGGATCCTTTTCAAGGAACTGCACCACGCAGTATGTCAGCTGCGGATGGTATACGGAGAGGCTCTTGGCTTTGTGCAATGGCAACAATACCTTAAGTAAAAATTGTTTGTGCTCCTCCTTGAGCGGTAAAGCAAATCCATTAATGATGCTACCCAATATTTCCAGCAACTCGGCAATGCCATTATGATGTTCCGTTTCATAGATAAATCTGTAAATAAATTGAAATTGTTTCAAACATTTGATTCACATGGGAAAAAAAAATACATTTAAAAATAAATAAAAGTTACTTATTATTGTTATAATGCTTAAAACTATAAAACTTTAAATAACCTATTACCTTGCTTGTGCTCTTACTGACCTGTAAAACACATTGTTGATCTGTTTCCTAATAAATGCCCTCAATCCCAAGAATTTGCCATAGATGCGATGTAGAACAGTCTTAAGGAAATCACGTTCACGCGGATCCTCTGAATCGAATAAATCCAACAGTTGTAATACAAATTGATGATCGATATAACGTTTTGCAATATTTGGCTGGAAATCGGGTGACTCCAAAAAACGCAAAAATAGCTCATAGACTAATTGCAAATGTGGCCAAGATGACTCCAATGTTGGCTCATCCTCTTCCGGATCGAATTCAGCGCCATTGGGATTCGAGGAGGGCGGCAAGGTGCGAAATAGATTTACTGCAAACTAAACAAATAATATAAAATAGAGAAATACCTTGAGAAAAACTGAATTTTATCATTCATACCATATTGATGGCCTCCGGGTAGATAATCTCTGTAATAACGCCATTCTGATTGGACAGATACTCGACCATCTCGTGGAGGGCGGCGCGCTTGACCTCCTTCCATTTTAGATCGCTTAGGGGCTCGGAGAAATCGAATAGAGTGCAACATTGCCGTAGTTTCTGTAGAAACAGCTCCTCCCGCTCCTGCGCTGGTGTTTCTATGGAGGCAAATAGTAAAGGGTTTGTTTTTTAACTATATATAAACCGTATCTTCGATAAACTAAATGCACTACAAATCGAACGGAGACCAACGAAACAACAATAAATAAAAAAAAACTGACGGAAGCAAGCTTAACTAAAAACTATTTTTTTTAATGGATCTAAGAAGCTAAGAAGGAGCGTAACCAATAGCAACCTCGCAGTGGCGGCAACGCCAGCGCAGTTGATGCGTTGGGCGGCGAGTGAAACAGATTCCGATCGCGTGCGCGTCCTGGACTTCCCGTCAGCTGTTGCAGCGTCTGCGGCGACGATAGATTGTGGCCCATGGCATCGCCGTTTTGGCGTAGTACTGACGCAGACGACGAGGACGACGACGTCGACAACAATGACGACGACGCCACCGAAACCACCGCCACAGTCGCCGTACTGCCGTTGCGCTGGCCAATGCCTAGGGAAATGCTAATGCCACCGACCAGATTCTGTGCCACTGTCGAGCGCAGTGGCTCCTCGGGCGCTACTTCGCTGCTGCTGCTGCTGCTGCTGCAGTTGGTGCTGGACGCAGCTGCATTGCTGCCCACATTTTTGGTGGCATTCAATATGTTCTTAATGGCCGCGGCGGCGCTCACGGGTGACTGTTGAATGATTGTTGAGGTTGCGTGATTTGATTTATGAAATGAGTAGAGCAGAGAATTTCATTCATTACGTGTACAACTTGAATCTGTCTGGTGGAGGCAGTGTCTGGTTGTGTCTGTGTGTGTGAGGGTTGAGGCAAAACCAATTGCTGCAAACCTTGTTGCTGGACGAACTGGCTGTGCTTGCAGCTGTGACTACACTAGACGCAGTGCTTAGCAATGAACTGGCTGTGGTGGCTGCCGAGAAATGCTGCGCCAAGGTTGACACCAGTGTGTTGCTGCTTGTTCCAGCTGCAACTCCAGTTGCTGTTGTGGTGGGCGTGTTCTTAGACATGGCTGCTGTTGGTGCTTGTTGTGCTGCTGCTGGTGCTGCTGTTGTTGTTGTTGTTGTTGTTATTGTTGCTGCTGGCAGCACATTCGTCGCCGCGGACGACAGCGACAATGAGGACGTGGAGGTCTGTGACCCAAACGGCGATGAGGAGGCAATTAACGCAGCGGCTGCGGAATTGGCACCACCTCCGTATGTGGCCGCCGATAAGCTGGAAGCCGATAAACTCGCTGCAGCCGAGCCCAGCGAGGATGAGCCAGCCTGCGACAGCGATGACAGTGCCGATGCCGACGAATTTGAGCTAGTCGATGAGGACGATGGCGACGATGATGCGGTGGTGGTGTTGGTGGCACTTGCCTCTGGTGGCGACAGTGGCATTTTGCGTGCCTGCACCTCAAACTTGGCCTTTAGCTCTCCCACGCTGCTGAACTTGAATTTGGTATTATCGCCCTGGCCCGACTGCTCCTCGTCGTCGGCCAGCTGATCTAAGCCGCTGTGAAACGATGGCGACTTGGGTATTCGTATGCCACCCAGTGCATAGTAGCCGGCGGCGGCAGCGGTTGCTGTTGGCTGCTGTTGCTGATGCTGTTGTTGTGGCTCCTCCTGTTTAGCTGCTGCTGCTGCTGCTGCTGCTGCTGAGTTGCTTGCGTTGTTGTTGGCTGCTGCTGCAGTCGCTTGTTGCTGCTGCTGCTGCTGCTGTTGTTTGGTGGGACCGTTGTGATGGTTACCCGTCAGCAACATAGCACCGATGACCATTTCATTAGTGCCGCACTTTGTTTAATGGCGGCGCAATCGAAAAGCATCGCTTTCAATTACACGACGCACTTTGGCTGAATGTTCTCATTTGCTAATTGCGGGACTCTCTAATAACAACAAATATGGAACAACAACAACAACGACGGGTAGGAAAAATGCGACACTAATAAAGGTTAATTTTTCTTATGATTTCTGTTTGATTTTTTTTTCTTTCTTTTTTCTAGCGTTCTAAGCGTAAATTTTGTTAATAGCATCTGTAATGGGAATTGCAATATATAGATTATGATTTATTTATGTATGCAGGTAAATGAAAACGATAACGAAATGAATCGGAAAATGGAAATGAAAATGGTATGAAACAAAATGATTGCTGGTTTGGAAGTCGCAGGTGAGAAATAATAGATCTATAGACACCCGATGTGCGATGTCAGCAACTACAATGCATACATATGTACTATGTACTATGTATGTATGTATGTATGTATGTATGTATCTATATATCTATATACATACATCTATTTTCGCACTTACGAATTTCTTTTGAGAACGGAACCGGTTTTTTAGGAATGTCTAGTATTTTAACAATTTGATTTTGATATAACGGTGCACAGCGCGCTTGATAATGGAGATAATTTGCTAAGCAATTCAGTAAAACTCAACTGTTGGGCAACAATTTAAACGGTGAATTTAATTTTTGATTGCGGAGCTCTCGCAGAGCCGTGTTGAATGCGAGGCAAATTGTTGAGGGCAGGCAGGCTGAAAAATCGATAACATTTGCCGTGGGCGAGCGCAGGATGAGCGAAGAGAGGCATTCCAGAGAGAGAGAGTAAGAGAGAGAGAGTGCGTGTAAGAGAGCGCCAAAAGTGTTCAACGACAGCGACGAAAACAATGCTAGACTGCCAAAAAGGGAACTACATATTTGAATGCCAACGGCAAACGTTTTAAAATTTAACAAGTGGATAAGCAATAAAAAACACCAAACAAATCTGAAACGGGGGAAGTGGTGCGCCGGGAGAGCGTAAGTGGCGCGCAAGGCAAATGGCAAAAAAAAAGTGGGCGGCAGGCGTAACTACCATATGAACATACCATATGTATGTACATGTATGCAGATGTGTAAGTTGTGCAGTGTTGAGTAACCCAGCAAAATAAACATCGCCCACTTGACCTTTGCGAACTTACTTAATAAATAATAACACAATAATAAAATTCCGACGAGCAGCAGCGATTCGACAGCTGAGCGGCAACGCAAATCATATATCAACAAAATTACTAAGTAGTATACACACCACTACACATACATATTTACATCTATATGTAGTATATGTAGATGCACATACATATGTAAATATTTTGTTTACTCACTTTCATTGAGCGGACTGAGCGCCGTCAGTTCACAGTTCTTGGATACATTGTAGCGGGTGCTGCTCTGTCGCTTTTCCTTGCGCATCAGCGGTGTGGTGGTCAGGTTCAAGCCCTTGGTGATTTGCGTGGGCGGCGGTGCATCACGCGGTGGTGTGCTGTCCTTGTCTGTCTTGTTAGCCTGCAAATATTGAGCAGATTCATGGTCAGCAGAGTAAGGCGCTTCATCTTCTTGAAGATGGAAAGAGACGGGGCAGTGGCAGGGGCAGGGGGAGGGGGTGGTAAGGCGGCGGCAATAGATTGAAATTATAGTAAAAACCAAACAAATGAACTAATAAAACACTTTCAAACATTAAGCTTTAGTTCCCTTTTCGTGGCACCCTTTCTATTACCTTGGTCTGTGCAAATCCTTGCCGCCTAAGCTGAGCTGTCGCCTGTGGGTTGTTAGTCTCGGTTTTAGTAATACCAACAAAGAAATGTGCATTCTCTAAATACACATACATTAATGCGTATGCATGTGTTGGTGTATTCACTACAACGATTCTTGATTTGGAAGGCGAAACAGTGAGACTCTAATTGAAATCAATCATTAGGCATATGTGTACACATTGGCGATGATAAGATTAGATAAGCAAAAGTGCGTTAAGGTTGAGGCCACAAGGAGGTCTATAAGTGTGTGGGATACGACGAGACTAACACACATAAATCGTTCTATAATTGACGTTAATTATTAAGCATGCTCTATTGGGTCGGGACATTGATCATTTATTGTTTTGCCTAATACATATTGCGATATTAGTAATAACTATATGCATATTCGATATTGAATGTAAAACAGTAGTCGTCGGCGGAAAATTTCTCATTTTCCGATTAGATACAAAAACAAGTTTTACTATAAATAAAATAATCGATTCTCAGAGAATAGCATTAAATAATATTTTGTTTTGTGATAATATCGAAATAGGCATAGGTTATCAATCAGCAATCTGTACTAGAAGTGTTTGAAAACGTATTGTGCACGAATACATATGTACATATATTTGAAAAAAAAAAAATAAAAAACATTTATTACTCACCTCGCTTTTGATGGGAGTAGCAACAATTCCACTGGTTACAACGATAGGCGTTGTGCTTGTTGTTGCTGCTGAAGTTGTTGCTGTTGCTGTTGTTGTTGTACTAAAGTTACTGTTATTCTCTTTGATACCGTTAGCGGCTGTTGTGACTTTGTTATTGTTGTTATTTGTTGTTGCCGGTTCGATTTTAATAGACGCTGCTGCCTCTGGCGCTGATGTTGGTGACACCGCCGCTGCTGCTGCTGCTGCTGCTGTGGTGCTTTTTGTTGCTGCTTCTAACGCGTCGTTATCCATAATCCGGTCTCAGTTTTATCTGCAGCTTAAAATTGTACTGCTTCTTCTTGATTGGCTCTTAACAACACAACAACAACAGCTGTCACCGCATACAACAAAATAGAGTTTTTGTATAATTTTCGTTCTCTTTAATTCGTATTTATTTCTTAGTTCTCTCTTAATTGAGTTGTATCTGATAATTGCGGGCAAAATTCAAAATCCACCGCTGTGGAAGTGTTTAAAAGAAAATTAACGTAGCAATAACAAAACCAAATTAGACAAAAAGATGACAACAACAACATGCAAAATAAAAAAAAAAAATTGACCGATCAGCCTACACACATATGCACATGAATACACAGACACACACAATCGTACCTTGGCGAATATGGGGGTAAAAAGAAAAGAAAACCGCTAAGAGCAGTGCGCACTTGGCCCGAAGACAAAGTTGTCACATATTAATACCAAGTTACAGCTTTAAGCACGCCGAATCCGGTTCTAAACGGTTCTAAGCACATCTAAGAAGTTGCACTCAATCAGTTCCGATACAAATGCATATGTGTGCACATGCATACAGTTTATATGCATGTATGCACGCACACATTAAAGTTTTGAAGGGATTACTTCGATTGGGCTGCGGATTAACAGGCACACTGAGAGCTAATGATCACGCGACGGCTCCCGCAAAAAAATTAAAATACTCTGAACGCGTTTGTGGCTTCCGTGAAATTGCAAACACAGAAAATAAATACAAATATCAAAACATACAGACGCAATGCGACAGCAAGCAACAAGTTGCGAAGCAATGGCCGTCGATCAGAGTTGCCAGACTAAGAATTCATCTCATTCCCATGCGAACATCAAGTGTGTGGACAACATTTGTTGATATATATTTAGGGGAGTAGCGGTGTACGGGTGGGGTGTCTGTGAGCCTTTACATTTTGCTACAAAAATATTGTATAGAGCAACCGGAATATATGCAAAAGACATGAGCAATATTTTCAAACACTCGCATATTTTATATGTCACCTTAGAACGCGTGGAGGGCGACAGCTCTGCTCGCTAACATGGGGAAACAGAGAGAATAGAAATAAACTGAGTGTGTACTATGCATAATTAATAGTTGCAGAAAAAAATTCAAGCCAAACAATAATAGGAATGCAAAAAAAAAAAAATGTTAAACTCTGAATGTCAAAAGGGGGAGCGTTTTGGGTTGGGTAGGTACTAGTGAAAAGAGGGAGCCTTTTATTTACCGCGAGAAGCTGCAAGATCTTATTAAATTTGCCTCTACTGCGATTTAACATTAAATATTTTGCTAATTAAAGATGTTTTCTATTTTTTTTTTTTATATTTCTTTTACGTAAATGTTAATTCTAACACACGCACACACAAGACACTCGCAATCGCACTCGCAATGTTTTCTCGTTTATTCACTCGAGCTCTTGAGGCTGTGGATATTGCTGTGTGAAATTTTTGCGCTTCACTTTTGTGCTATAATTTTCTCTGCGGATTGAGAATTAGGCAAGACTTGCTTACAAATCACGACGTGTTATCAGCGCTAGTGCTTTCAGTTCGCCTCTTCATCAAAAACACTTAACATCAAGCGCAATATTAATTATAAATAATTATTTTTGTAAAATATTTCGTTCACGCAACGTCGCTGCTAAATAAAAGTAGTGTTGCCAGACATACCAATATCAGCTATTAGCCAAAAATATCGATGGTCAATACCCAAAACCATCGATATATTGATGGTGATAAATCGCTTTCACAGCCGCATTGGATGTTAAGCTGCAATCGAAAGAGTAGAGACTTTTAAAAATTAATATATTATTAATCAACAAAAGTAAGGTAGCGATTCATTAAAAAATTAAACAGTAAGTGTTATTTTATGACACTTGTGGGTTTATCTTCTAAATTTAGAATTAATAAAATTCTACTATCGTTGTTTACAATATATTTGAATTGTATTCGACAAAAACAAGCATAAATATCGGAATTTGTTTCCATCACTAACTTGCAGATGGCAACACTGGTATGCGATTTTTGTTTATAAAATAAATACGTTTTAAAGAGTCTACGCATAAAAATTGCCATGAAAATTACAATAAAGGTGCTCAAAGGCAAAGATTGTACACTTGAGGTAGGTTGTTTGGTTATTTACCATAATACTATACACAATTGAAATGTTGTCATCCTTTTCCGGTCAGGTGTCACCGACTTCCACCATTCTGGAAGTAAAAGAACAAATAGAAGCCGCACTACAAATACCCGCCACAAATCAGAAGCTCCTTCTGCTTGGCAGACCTCTGAACAATGACCACACAATCGCATCCTATCCAAATATCAAAGAGGGCACCAAGATTAACCTGGTCGTCATGAAACCTGGGCTGCGCGACTGCATCCATCGAGCCTTTCGCAAATACTATACGGAAGCGCAATCCGAACGTCTGACCAACGAATTCATGACTGATTTTGAGGCAAAGCTGAAAGAACAGAGCTTGGACGATTTGGAACGCTTTGCTGATAATTGTTTATAAAACTGACGACGCTATGCTGATAAAGCTTTTAACATAATATCGCAAAGAAGAAAACAGATTTTACTCGATTTATATTATTTGTTGCCCAAGCATTATTGTAGTAAAAAAGAAGAATGCCGACCGAATTTATTTGAATACTTTGTCATATCCGATACAGATTATTTGCAACGGCCTGGCAACTCTATATTTTGCATCGGCCATTGAGCAAGTGTAAGTGGTGCCAGTGTCAGAAATGCAGGCGTGCAATTTTTTTAACCGAGTTGTTAACTCTACGAAGACTAACGCGCGATCTTTTTCCAGAACACTTGGTGCCATGGTTAAGGTAGGTTATAGCTCAGCATCCGAAGCACATTGAGAACAATTGCAGTTAAATAATTACATAAGCACAAGCAAATGCCTAATAAATATTGATTTGGGCGGAAGAGAATGACACAAAGTGCAAGGCCATCATCAAGGTTACATCAGTTCTATCACTAATGCATTTGTATGCTGTGTGTGTACATGTGCTTGTTGGCTTTTGTGTATTTTTCTAGGTTGGAGACAAGCTGCCCTCGGTGGACCTCTTCGAGGACTCGCCAGCCAATAAGATAAACACCGGCGAGCTAACAAATGGCAAGAAAGTGATATTCTTTGGTGTGCCCGGTGCATTTACTCCCGGCTGTTCCAAGGTAAGTTAATTATCGAAAATATCACTTAAATTTTTTAAAATTGGTATTTACATATGTGTTTGCCCACAGACCCATCTGCCGGGCTACGTAACTTTAGCAGACTCGCTTAAAGCGGAGCAGGGCATAGACGAAATCGTCTGCGTTTCTGTAAACGATCCGTTTGTGATGTCTGCATGGGGCAAGGAGCATGGAGCAGCTGGCAAGGTTCGCATGCTAGCCGATCCCGCTGGCATTTTTGCATCCGCTTTGGATGTGAACATTGACCTGCCACCGCTAGGCGGTGTGCGCTCCAAGCGTTACTCCATGGTCGTACAAAACGGCGAGGTTAAGGAATTAAACATTGAGCCCGATGGCACTGGCTTGAGCTGCTCGCTGGCCAACAAAATTGGCAAGAAGTAAACGCGCAATGTTTATTTCCCAATATTTACTTGTAGTAAACGAATCATGTAATAATTAGTGCCGTGGCCCAGCGCCAAAATATCATGTTTTCAATTATATATTGGAGAGAAACTATGTAGTGAATAAAAGAAATGCAATTATAAGAACTATGCTTAATGGTTTTTTGTTTAATATCTAGTTGGGCTAAAGGGTTGATCTTATCTCTAACGGTTGTCCGTGTTCGGCGCAATCTTTTGGGAGAGTAGCTTGCCGTAACCGCCTCGGCCTGCATCATAGTCTGTTCTATATTCATCTCGCACCTGTCCGCCCGTCTTGCCGCGTCCATATTGACGGCCCTCAACAAAGCCCGCGTCCCAGTCAACACGTATCAGTCGATCGTCCAGCCGCGTACCATTTACAAATCTGCAATTTACCATAAGTTAAATATATCGGGTTAAATTTACTTGATGGGGCTGGGTCAACCTCATGGCGGCCTCCGCTTCCGCTCGCGTGTAATATTCAACAAAACAAAAGCCGCAAGGCGTTTTTTTATACTTGTCCAGGCCCATCACAATGATGCGTACATCGCCGCAACGTGAGAAAAGTTCGTGTATTTGCTCCTCGGTTGTGTAAAATGATAAATTGCCTACATAAAGTGTAGTCGAGTCACGCAAAGAGCGTTCCTGCTCCGAACGTGAGCCCTGGAGAACATAACAAATAAATTAAAGGCCTTGAAAATGATTTTGATTATGCTTACTTTAAAGTGCTGGTCACGATAGGAGCTCAAGTCTATAGATGCAGTCATATTATTTAATGAGTTGATAAATACAACAAAAATCAAACACAAAATATCCAAATTTTGTTGGCTTACAAATAATGTCAGTGTGCACACACTCTAGGCGATTAATAATTATGGAACAACCAGGGCTGCATTACAAATACATGGGCAGCTTTCATTTTTGTGTACACACTGCACGCATAAAAGAAACAGCGTAGCAAAACAAACTATAATTAGCTACCAAGCTGACAAAGCGACAGCGCAAACAAAATAAAAAAAGAATTAAATGCATAATTCTCAGACTACCAGCGGTATTAAAAGACAGCTGCGTTTTCGCGGTGATGTCAGCGCTAACAACAACCGCATCGAGGACCTGCAAAACGAAGAAACTTACAAACTACCAAAGGTCAAACTGCCAACAGTTCCGGATGACGTTGGCGCTACAGCAACAGCTGCACAGCAGCGCTTGCACACTGGTAAATACGAAATATATATGAATCATGGCAGGATTTTTACTTGGCTTACGTATTCGCTTAATAGCCGGCTCGGAGACGAGCACATTTTATGATTTCTTCAAAGTGGAAATGACACGCGGCTACATGTTGGAGCACGACGAGGAGCGTTATTCGGCACGTCGCCAAAAGATCTACAGTTTTATGCGCATACCACGGGATCTGGAGCGTTTTATGGTTTATGGCATAATGCAGTGCGCTGACTCCTTTCTCTATATACACACATTTTTGCCCGTGAGGTTCCTGCTGGCCGTTTGGTCGTTGCTGACGCGCACTGTGGCACGCATTTGTCGACTGCGCGGCGGTGGTCAGCGCCTACTATCCCCCGCAGAAATATGTGATTTACTCAAGGGTGCCATCTGGATATCGGTGACGCTGATCATGCTGCTTGTGGACACCAATCGTGTCTACCACATCATTAAATCGCAGTCCATCATCAAGCTGTATATATTTTACAATATGCTTGAGGTGGGCGATCGGTTGCTCTCCGCCTTTGGTCAGGATACCATTGATGCTCTCTTCTGGACGGCTACAGAGCCAAAGCACTCCAAGCGCGAGCACTTTGGCGTTCTCACGCACATTCTCTTTACGCTCATCTACGTGTTCCTGCACAGCGGCCTCATCATGTTTCAGGTGGGTAAAATATCGATAGCTATCGATAGGTTATATGAAATTGAAAAACCGTTGCGCAGCGGGTTTTGCGCACTTTATTGCCGCCATTTTTAAAATTTGTTGCACTTTCTTAACTCTTGCAGGCCACTTGTCTAAATGTTGCAGTCAATTCCAACAATAAGGGCCTCCTCACAATAATGATATCGAATAATTTTGTGGAGCTCAAGGGCTCTGTGTTCAAGAAGTTCGATAAGAACAATCTGTTTCAGCTGACCTGCAGCGATGTGCGCGAACGCTTCCATTTGTCTGTGCTGCTGTTCATCGTGATGATTCAGACTATGAAAGAATTCGACTGGAGCATCACACAGTTCTGTGTCATGCTGCCCGATTGTTTTGCTGTCCTGTTCACAGAAATCCTTATTGATTGGGTGAAGCATGCGTTCATAACGAGATTTAACGAGCTACCCGAGAGCATCTATCGCGAGTACACGACGAGCTTGGCCTATGACATGACTCAGACGCGTCAGAAACATGCCTTCTCGGATCACTCAGACCTGGTGGCGCGTCGCATGGGCTTTATACCATTTCCGCTCGCAGTGGTGCTCATCAAAGCCATTTACACAGCGGTGTCATTTCACAATTTGGCTGCATGGCTGCTCTTTCTGTTGGCTTACCTATTTGCCTTGGGGCTGCGCATCTGCCTGACCATTTGTGCATTGGGCAAGGCCTGTAAGCTAATGAAAGAGCATCAGACGGAAAGAAACAGCTCAACGCCCAACAGTATGACTAATGTGCCCGTTATTGGAGCAACTGTTGGTCTCGCCATTCCAAATTTGCAAATACTGAACAACAATAATATCAACAACAGCGGCAGCAGCGCACCTTTAAAGCCGTCACATGTGTCGATTGCTGCTATACCGCTGGATCAGAGTCTGAACTTTTCACGTGTTACCTCAACGTCCACGCCAAAGAAGGCGACCAGCGAACAAGAGCTGGATGTGACCAATTCACTGGAGCTGGGCGCGACAGCGCTCTTCTCCAATAGCGATGTGGACCTAGACGATGTGTGCCTTAACGAGCAGGTGACCAATGTGAATTCAAATGTTAATGCCCAGGAAGTCTACCAGGAGGAGGAGCTGGCTCGCAGTGAGCCAGATCTTATGCAGCTGAACGATGCGGCTGGCGGTGAGGCCAGCGACAGTGCACAGCTGGAGCGTGTCAAGGGGCTGCCCAAGCGAACCCACAAGCGCTCAGAGTCCGAGCCTTTCATGGGCATACAATGTCTCAACGAGAAGCCAATTGCGCCAAATGCTGGCGGCAATGCAACGTAGTTAGGATTGTTTAGTTAATTACTTTATGTCGCTTGTGGCTATAGTAAATCCCCTGAAGCTGAAAATCCTTGCCTGGATAAAGCCCTGGTAATTAATAATATATGTGAAATGAATTTATATGTATTGTATTAGTTTAGAAAAGTATGCTGATGATGTTCTCTATAAAGTTGACTTTATTTTACCCTCATAAGTGGGATATGCATTTGTTTATTAAACTTATCTTTGTTTTTGATATTTTTTCGGCTAGAACATAAGCGGCGATTCGAATTTTCAATTCAAACTTAACATGATGTTTACCACTGATCTGTGCGGCGATTTCCAATACTAATTGCATGCTGTTAGCTTACAGCAATTTTAGCACTGTTACTGTTAGCTGCTGTAACACAACATTTTATTGCATACTTTTTAGGGCAATGCAAAGTTTAAATATATATTCTCCAATAAATATATAGTTGTGCTCTAATTAACCATCAGCCAGCAAGGGAAAGAGAGAGAAATTTGATGAGAGCGAAAGAGAAAGCACACGCGCCAGTACTAGAGGTACAAAAACAACTACTCAGAATCTCCTTTAGCAGATGTTACCGGTTAGTGGATGTCCCGATAATCGAGATTTAACTATTTAACTATGTCTAACGGCTCGATTTTTAATGTTATAGGTTAAAAAAAAAAGAAATAAAAAAAGTAGCTTGCTTAAAAAATAATGTACATTTACATTGGTTAATGGGGAGACAAGTAAGGAAAACAAGGACTGCTCATAAGGTTATAACCAATGATTCTTCAGTATTTATTGACCATCCAACCATATAATCAAAGTTTGCCCAACATGATAAATTTAACCAGAAATGCGTGCCAACATCCGCAACGCCTCTGCGTAACCTTTAATATTCGCTGTACACTTGTGTGGGCTTTCCATTCCTGGTCCTTGCCATTCTTGCAGCCAGGCACCTAGCCCAGTGAGTCAGTGCACCCAAATTGCAGATTACTCATTGAGCATTTTAGGGGCGGGACTTGAAGTTAGCCTAATGTTAACACAAAACTTAAGCAAATTATTTGCTGGGCAGCGAGGCGGGGCGCCGGCCAATTTGGCATGGTTTCATGAATGAAAATGGCTTTATTCGCTGGCATCGTGTTTACACGCGTAGAAAAATCAACAAGCCGCAAAAGGACGCCTTTGTAGCCGCAACTGCTGCCAAAAACATACGCACCGCTAATACGGCTGCTCAGCTCACCTTGGGAGTGCACGCGCCTGAACACGCCGAAATACACACACACACACACTTCTGCACACACACATGTACACACGTCGTGCGCACACACAATTTACCGCTACACACGCGCCGCGCCTTTGGGCGTTTCAGTTTTATGAATGAAATTCTACGCTGACCTTGAGCGTAATTACGTCAGAGCTGGCATAGGGGAAATTTCTCTGGTCTTACCCCCTTAAAAAAAATCCTTAACTGCGCATGTCCATCGAATCATTTGGCCCCGCTTTCGGTTCGAGTTCGACTGTGGCTGGCTTTCATTCATGAATTGCCTTTGGGCCTTCATGAATGGTCGTGGGTCAAATCCGTTTTGGGTCCCCTACATTTCAAGGACACGTGTGCCGCTTGCCGTTTAGGCATTCCTATTGATTTTCCCATATATATATGTATACAGTTTTTTTTTTTTTTTGCACAAGCTCGCGCCTTTTAAGTTTCCGGCTAGATAGTTTTGCATGGTAGTGCAACAACAGTACCAATAGGATATATTCGTATCTATAAGGTGCGTAACGAAATTATACGAAACTTTTTATTTCTTAACTTTTTTTTGTTTGAGTAATCTTAGAAGTATAGTAATGCTTTATTTTCGAAAATGTATATGAAAGCAACATTATATAATAACATAGGCATTTAAATGTTCATAGGTTTTAAAATATTTGAAAAAAATAAGAAAATAAAAATATACTTATAACGTATATTATATTTTTAGCATTGCATAATCCTTGACGTTAGATAAATGATGATGAATGTGAGCCTTGGGCTAATTCGTAACTAAACAATTCATGTTTTTTCTTGCGTCAAAAGCCAAAATTATCCTTCAATAAGTCTATGCTTTATATTAAATGGGCAATTTTTATTGAGAACTTTTGAAATGGGCAAAGTCGTATTTTTTTTTTTAATTTAAATTTAAATGCTAAAATTTTCAGTTTTGCAAAAATGTTCGCCCTTGTGCGTCTGCGTTGAAAATCTGTCTCCAAAAACACACAATTTCCGGCCGGCTGGCGTGCGTTAAAAATAGCCTTGAGTAGAGCAGGCAAAACGGAAAGTGAACGCGCAGTTTTATGAATGAATAAAAGGGCACCCGCGACCCACGACCCACGACCCACGACCTTCAGCCACAACCAGTGCGAAGCCAGGCAAACTGTGTGGAAAATGAGAACTTTGGATGCGAAGCCGGGCAGTGCCAACGTTTTGCCTTGCTCTTGACTGGCCTTAGCCCATAATTTATTGATTTTCATCGCTCGCAAGCCGGAGCCGGAGTCCGGCACATGCGCCTTTCGTCCCCGCCAGCTGGTTATCTGTGCGGCAGATTGTCGTCACGTTCTGGACTCGCGGGCATGGGCTACAATAAAACTGTTGCGGTACTGACGTCATACGATGAAGTTTTGTGCAGACCGCATTGCCAAATGTTTATAATTATATAATTATACAATGTATACAGGAATGGTAAATATTTAAATATGCATATCTTCACCACGACGGAAATCATTGAACCATTTGTAACGCTGGAGACGCGACTGAACCATCTCGCCCAGCACATAGAGGCGAACGGGTATTTTGGAACCAGCTTCACCCTCGTTGCTCTCATTCTCATCATGGCGTTGTTCGGTGGACATCAGAACATCAATGACAATGACGCCGTGCAGCAGATAGATGACGCCGCAGAAGAGAGCGCAGAGAGCCTGTACACGCATATAGCTAAAGACTGGATGCAGTGGCTTCTCCACTTCCAAACGATTTTCACCGCGTGTGTGGAACAAGTGAAAGTCACGCTCCGCATTCTCCAGGATCATCAGCGATATGAAAATGTACAATAAAAAGCCGATCATGGTGCGTACGATTTCTTCAAAAACCGAAAATCGATGTCCCGTACAAATGTTGATACTAGCAAAAATTGTTAGCACCGAGAATATATAGAAGGCTGCCGAACTAAAGTAGTGGCAAATATGTGACCAGAGCGGTAAAAAATCCAGAGATTGCTTCAGAAACCCATGTATATGGCAGAACATCAATATCATGTTGAGTAGAATTTCGATTGTGTAAAATTGGAATAGAATCGGTCGCATTGTTAACCGATTTTGCACCAAATACTTTTATACAATTATTATTCACTTAATGTTTCTTCTGTGTGTTTGTGTGTGTTTATTTTTCTTTCTTTAGCGTACTATTCAAAAAGTTGTGTCTTGGTGTAGTTATAGATTTAAGACTGATTTTTATTTGTGCTCACATTCGACAGTTTTCGCATAGAATGTTTGATTTTTGTCAGCTTTTTGGATTGCCAGGATTGTTGAGGTTTTTTAGAAAAACTCTTAAATGGGCAGCGGAGCACCGCGTTCAAAATTATAAAACCATTCGTACTGCTCAAGATGCGTTTGCACCAACTCGCCCAGGAGATAGAGACGGGCGGGTATATATTCAACATTCTCGGTGTACTCATCGGAATCATCAACCATTCTCTCGAAATCGGAGTCGTCCTCGTTCGACAATGACACATCAATGACAACGATGGCGTGCAGCAAATAGGTGACCCCGCAGGTCAGAGCGCATGCCGCCTGGGCGCGCATAAACTCAAAGAACGGATGCATTGGTCGCTCCACCTCCGGTTCGTGCTCAATTATTAGGTACATCAGATGAAAGTCCGATTCCGCATTCTCCAGCGTGAGCAGCGAAATGGTTATGTAGAATACAAAGCCGCATACGGTGCGTATGATTTCCTCACTCAAGGAGCACTGGTGTCCGGTGCAAATGTTGATACTCGCGAATAGAGTTAATATTGTGAAAATACAAAAGGAAACAGAGAAGAAATAATGAATAAACTGTTGCCAGAATTCCAGAAAATCCAACGGATGTGCCAGAAATCCGCGTATATGATAGAACATGATCAACATGTTCAGTATAGTCTCAACTGTGTAAAATTGAAACAGAACCGGCCGCATTATTGCCCGATTTTACACTGTCGTATACTCCAATATAAATATGTATGTTGTCTCTTTTCTTATTCTTATAGTTTTGTTTTTTTTTTTTTTTTTTTTTTTTTGTTTTTGGTCACACATCCGACAGTTTTTGCAAGGTATGTTTGACACGCTTTTGTTGGGTCCATGGATTGCTGAGGTAGTTGAGAGTGCTTCGCTCATCATAAAAAAAAAAACCTCTTCACATTTGCCCCGTTGCCAATGTGGTTGTGTTCCTTGTTGTTGTTGTTTTGGTTTTGGTCTTCGTTGGACTGCTGCCGCTGGAAACAGTAGCAACATTTTGCTGGCAGTTTGATGTTGTTGACGGCCCGTTGACGGCGATTATGTTGATGACGCGCAACACCAAGACCGCAACGAATTTACGCGCAATTCTCCACCGCTTCGCCATCTCGAGTGGCAAGCGGTAAGCATTTGTATTTAAATATACACCAAAAAGTCTTGCGAAAATGTTAGAACGCCTTGCAGGTCCAACTGAACCATTAACATTCTGTTATCGATTGCATTGCATATCTTTGTTATCGAGCGTTTCTCTGTTATCGTGGCAGTGTTGCCACTTTTGCATTGTTAACGTCGAATTGGAATGTGTGTTGATCTAATTGTACGTATCCAGTGTTGTTCAACGGCTTTATTTATCTTCTGCTATTAACAGAAATTGTAAAAGGCATCCGTTTATGCTCCAATTGGATACTGGATTGGATTTTTGTTTTCTCAACATTTTCGCGCGGGTGTACGTTGATGACCAAAAACGCAGAACCCACACTCACGGCAATAACAACAACAACAACAACAACTTTGCGCCGACAGTAGCTGCAGGAATATAACAAATCAGTTGCTGCTGTTGTTGTGGCTGGCAGCCACTGTTTATCCGTTGGCTGTGTGCAAAGTAAAAGGGTTAATTCATTTGGCTACAGTTGAGGAGCCATTCTGACTGCGTCATCTTGCCAAGAGACGTGTCTTGTGGCTTTTGCTGCTGCTGCTGCTGATGCTCTTGTTGTTGTTGTTGCTGTTATTTGCGGTGGCGGCGGCGGCGGCTGCTGCTACTGCTGCAATTTTGACAAGCAAACAGCGCTTAAGCGAGTTAAGTGGTTGCGAGCAGCACAAAAGCCGCTTGCCTTTTGCCTTTGCCCAAGTCAAATTCCAGGGATCAACACTGCCAACCAGACGGCCTGCAGCACAGTAGTCAACTCGACGCAACTCAACTCAACTCAAGCCATCGTCATCGCCATCGTCACCGTCACCGACGTCGACATCGCCAGCCTCATCATCGTCCGCCTCATCATCGTCTTTGGCTCAAGTTGAACTTAAGCGCGTGTGCTTGCCTAGTAGCTCGGGCGGCGGCTGCGGCGTGGTTTTGGCGGTTTGCTTCTCTTTTTCTTTGTTTTCATGCCCTACACCCATTGAAAATGGGCTAAAAGGATGTAAAGGTTTTGTCCCGGTGTTTGTAACAGCCAGAAGAATTCATTTTCGGCCCAATGTATTCCTGATCAAGAGCAATCGGTCTGTGCGTCCGTATAGAGAGCTGAACTTTCGAACGTGGGTACGCCGATTGTCAGCGCAGATCAAGTTTATTTTAATTGCCATCCCTTCAAGAATTATATGATACTAATATTAGGGGTTATAGCCTTGGGCTTAAGTATCTACACACTTTTGTATGCCATATTTTAGGCCTGAAAGTTTCAACAAGAAACGGACTATATTATATATAGTCTATATTGATAACGGCAACCAGGCGCTGGGCTTAGGGTATCTTCTAGTCGAACACTCCTGACTGGGGAACCTTTGTGTTGTTTGTTTTTTTTTTTTGATTTTGGATTTTCACCGTTTGTGTGTACACAGTGTGGATAACACAACGCGCCCCGACCTGGAAAGGGGCGTTTGTATTTGCATGTATGTGTATACACACACACACACACACACATGGCTCTGGCAGCTGCTACAATTAAGAGTGCTAAGCTCTTGTGTAATCGTACCGAGCTACCAAAACGCTCCAGTTACGCCCACCACCAGGGGGCATGGCAGACCGCATGCCATTACAGTTAAATGCAAGTGCATAAATAACAATTACAGTTGCACCAGCAGCAGCGGCAGACAACAAAAACAACAACAAGAAGAATAATAACAACAACGGACAAACTCAGGTGTCAATTGGGGGCCGCGTTATCCGGCGGCCATTTTGCAGCAAAAGCGCATTTGCTGATCGCCATATATCGACATTTAATGCCCGTTGATTATTATGTTTACACTTGGCTAGCAATTTCATGGCTGCAACAACATGCAACATTTCGGCCAAACAGTGCTCTAATAATGAACCCGGGCCAAGAAATCTCAATGCAAATCAACGGCAATTAATAATTCATCGCCCGCTGGGCTCCTAGCATGGCGTCATAGCAATTATATGGCCCCGGTTGAAGAGAGTGTTGGGGAGAGCTCTGGCAAGAGTTTCAGAGTTTCACGGGTAAGGGTGAAAGGTGCGGCAGGGAGGGTTGGGGTGCGTTAGTATTACAATAAGCCAGTAATCTAAATGCACACGAGGGCTGCCCCTAAAGTGTTTATACTAAGTCATATTTTAATAAGCCCGTGAAAAGGCTGCCAAGTTAGGCTGATTCGGTCTGTAAGTCATAATTTGTATAATTCATATAATTCAAAAGCTAATAAATGCATAATTTTGTATTATTACGTGTAAGTATGGCAACTCTACATCAGCTTTTGTTTAAAATTACACAACACTATACTACGCGACGTACGCAATTCAATTTATCGATTTGGACTCTTCACTTCATGTTATCGATATATTTTTTGAATGCATTTTGATAAAAAGTATCGTTGCGACTTTCATCAAACTTGAATACTTTTGAATCCATACTCGTTTATCTGTCCATATCTTTGTCTATATTCAATAAAATAAATTTAATATGCAAAACAGCCGGGCAACTGCTGCAGTGGCCGCCTGTCGTCCAATATCAGCAAATTTGCAATAAAATATTTGTCTGGCCGCCGTGTCCAGACTCGGTCTGGGTCCCAGCTCCAGCTCTGGCTGCAGCAGTGGGTCGTCGAGTGGCGGCCGTTGCGGCTACTGAAAATTATTTATTCGCACCTTTCGCCGCCGCAGACATCGCTTGCCTGCCCCGTGCCGCCCGGCTTGTGTCTGTCTGGCAGTTCACCCAGTTGGAGCTGCATTTCCATTTGCTTATCAAATCGCTTGCATCGTGCAAAAGAAATGCAGGGCAAATATAAATATTAGCGAGCTGGCGCAACTGCTGCCGGGCATCGTGGGGCGGAGACAGCCAGCCAGCCCGATATAAGATCGGTTTACGAAATTAGGCGCTGGCAAAAATCAAAAGCCCCTACGGCCATTTCAGCCTGTCTCGAGCATGAAAAGTGTGAAAACGAATTAGTGCAAATGCAACTGAGAATTCACCATCTGCTCAAAGGGGTAGAGTATGCAGTAGGGCAGTAAGGCGCAGCAAATGAAAGAGAGAGGTAGAGAGAGAGAGAGAGAGAGAGAGAGAGAGAGAGAGAGAGAGAGAAAGAGGTTTACAGATAAAAGTAGCAATCAATGTTGAGTTAAACAATCGCAATTTGGCAGCAATTGAGGTTTTAATTTCGCGATCTGCTTATAAGATCTACTAGATATTAATTCAAATAATCAATTATAATTTGAATAAAAATCCGCAAAACGGCCGATGCGAATTACCATTATAAGGCATTTCTAACCAAATTCCTATTTGAGCAATTAAATTTTTACTGATATGAAAGTATTATTGTCCGTAGATGTACAACCTTTATTTGTGAACATGCCCCAAGCTTACGTTCCTCTTTAAACCCTAAGCCCGTTAAAAAAATCTACCACAGGATCAGGAACTCCGACGCGGAAGAGATTAAGTATTTTATATTAAGATCTGTTTCGATATCTTGTTCCATTTCGAGAAAGACACCAACAATTGTGTGTAGGCTTTCGCTACATTCAAGATCCTTTAACTGTAGATCCTGCGTTTTGGAATATACATCATTACCAAAAATTGATTATCAATTAACGAGGGTTGATGAGGGCATCTCCGAGTCACTCCTAACTGGAGCACTCGGTCTAACTAGACTGGCACAAATTTATTGGAGGATCTATAGTTCCGCAACTGTCTATACTACCTGTTAGGTTTGGGTTCCCAGCGCCAGCTTCAAGTGTAACTCAACAGTTGTTTGATTTCCCGTTCGACAAGCGAAACAACTTTTGAACACATGTTGCATGCAGCTTGTTGCCGCTTGTGCTCCACAAATGCCAGTCAAAGTTGAATTGTCACTTGTACATGGGCGCCCAATAATTATAACAATGGGTGGGCCACACATACACACACACACTCACACACACACACACACACAGACACATGGAGCTGTTAACTGTGGCATGTTCACAAATTTGTTAGCATTCCACAACGTTGGCCACTGACAAAACGGCCGCCCAAAACGATGGAAGTTTCCAATGACAAATTTTGTTGTTGAAAATCGTGTTGCGTGTATGGCCACATTGCGTGGCGCATGCGTGGAGTCGGGCACATTGACAAATCGCCACATGGCGGGCGGCCAATTAGCAACAAGTCGTGGGGAAAATTGAGCCAGCCAAGCGGCTCAAACGGCGGCGCCTGGCTAAGCAGAGAAAGCAAATGGTTAATGGTTCAAAACGCACTAGAAACATTTATTGCTGCCTGGACTCGGGTTGAAGAAATATGAACTGCACGTGCTGCACATGACTGTCCTCCAAAGGTGTCTCCAGCAATTCCAGTGTCTGCTGCTTGCTAAACTGTGCAAAGAATAAGTATGTAGGGGAGGAGGAGAAGGAGCAGGATAATTGTGGTCATCAGCTTGTACTTACATTTAGCTTGAATTCCTCTAGGAGTGGCTCACCCTCTGGCAAATAGAGTCCTAGAGCAGGAGTACCCAACTGCTCTATGCAACGCATATTAAACAGACTGTATAGCAGCTGGATTGTCAGTTGGGGGCAGCCGATCAAGTAGAGCTGTGTGAGCACCGGGCAGGCGTTGACAAAGGCCGCCACCTGTTCATTGCTGAGATTGGAGCAATGACAGAAGGCCGCATAGCTGAGCATCGGCAGCATGCAAAGTGTGGTCACGTCCATGGCACCAAATTGACAATCGATCAGCATGAGCCCGTCCAGCCGCATGCAGCGCTGCAGCTCCAGACTGAGCAGCCACTCGGCAGTGCCCAAGTGGCTGCCATTGATTTGCATTGTTTTGATATCGTTGGCACGGCAACACAGTATCAAGGACATGGCAACGAGTGTCGTCTCTGCGTTCGCCTCCTTCTGTTGCAGCTCAAGGAATTTCAGCTGCGGCAGCCGACATATCTCCGTAGCGGTGCTCACATCTATGGCTGTCACGGGCAGCGTCAACTCCTGCAGTTTTGTGCACTTGCA